TACTTCTGTCCCAGTCACTCCTCAGACAACCACAGTTGGATGTATTTTCATCCCATGGTCACTAAACTCCATCTTCACACGTGGCTTTTGTCCAGTACCTTGCCTCAGCTCAGGGACTCACCCCTCATACAGCATCTTCCTTGCTCATACCCTTTGACCTTCCTCCTTGTCTGTATACCAGAGGATTTGGTCCATTCACTGTGGATTCTGCCTGTCCCATCCTTCTGTTTCTCATCCCTCATATTGTGCCTTTCCTTTCCAATGCCCTCAATCTTCCTCCTTGTCTGTATACCAGAGGATTTGGTCCATTCCCCATGGCTTCTGCCTATCCAGTCTTTCTGTTTCTCATCAATCCCAGTTCTTCACCTGATTGTTTGAATCAGTTTGTCTGTATCAACTGTTGCTAGTTTAGGGCTATCCTGTCAAACACCTTTCGTTTCTCTTATTTCTGGAAAGCCTTCCCCTCCCCTGTTATTTCCATCCTTTCCTGGTCCTTTCATCTAACCATCTACCATGTCCCCATTTTTCTGCCAGTCTTGTATCTCAGTGTGGTTCTTTATGCCCTGTCTGGTTTTCCCTTTGAACCCATTGCAATGTGTTACTTATAGCATATTTCCCTGAAGACCTCCTCCTCCTGGCATGTGGTCATCGTCATTCCGATATTTATGCCATTAATGTTTCCCATCTCCTTTACCATTCCTCATAGGTTATCCTCTATTTGGATCTGGCCTTTCTTCCCAAGACATCGGCTGCCCGCGAAGGTTCGTTAGCCTTTTCTCCTATTTTATTATCTTCCATTTCCCACCTGTATTCCTGTTCAGATCTGGATCAACTCCTTTGTCCAGTTCATTCACTGCAATGTTGTGTGGCTCAAACTGCCTTTCTTTCCGTGATTCTCATTCCCATCTCTGTGTTCCATGGAATTCTTCTGTTTTCCATGATCTATCACCTATAACACTCACTGGTTAGGTTTGTCAACTCATATGACTGGCATATTCTGACTTGTCCATGGAAAGTTGCAATGAACATAATGTTTCTTCTCACCAAATTCATCATCTAACTATGTCTTGAGCTACTAAAATCCATCGTCCTTTGAAGGAGATCACTCGGGCTATTATTTGGACAATTCCCAATATATTTGTTGCACGTTATCTGCATGTATCTTCCTCATGCAGGTATCGACTTCCTCCTGTGGAGATTCTACACATATTTGTTTACCTTTGACTGGGGTAAGTCGACATATTATTATTTTATATCTTATTTAGTTGATATACATCATATTACAGGATTCCACCTGGTGGTGGGTGTTTCCTGGTCAGGTATGCTTATTATTATATTAGCACTAGATCTTTATACTTCTGTAATGCTCAAAGTGGAGATGGGGTGTTTCTGTAAGACCACCGTATGTGTTTATATATTATTATTTTTTATCACTGTTTCATATGTAAAGGACCATCACTCGTGGACTTCATGAGTAAAGCAGATGGGGTTTTCTGCCCATCCCTACTAACCTGTGATTTCTCCAGCTAGGGTCTTTCTGCTTTTCAAAATAGGGAATTGCAGGCACCCATTGCACTGTCTCCAGTTTGTTGCTCCTCAGGACTCCTCAGTGCATATTGCCCCCCTTCTTCTCTAGTGGAACACAGGAGTACTTGCCAGTTCCCAGTCATTGGAGTGGTACACCAAGGAGGTTTCCTCCTGAGTGGGTTTTGTATAACAAACACTTTATATATCATGTGTACCCACTAGGCGAGAAGAGAGCTATCTTTGTTTTACCGAACAATGATAATACTATAACATAATATTCATGATCCAAGGCACTTCCCCCTGTGTGTTGCCCGGGTGGACTGCACTTCTTGATCTTAGAAGCTTCCACTGGATGTTTTTGCATGGATGGACTGCACTTAGCAAAATCTAATGTATCCCAAAGCACTTTTCCTGGATGTTTTTTGCCTGGGTGAACCATACTTGGTCTATTCTTATAAAATTCATGGTCCTTCAACCCTAGCCATGTATAGCTTTGTTTGTACTATCACTATGTTCGGTACTGTGGCCTGCTACATGTGTGGATGACGTATGACACGTATGTGATAAAGGGCTGGTTATGAAAACCTTCACAATCACTCTCTGTACCTGTAATTTGTTTTTTCTTAATCCTACGTATCCAGGGTGCTTCCTCTGGGTATTTTTTGCTCACTGATATGCTGGTGTTTCTGGTTTGTACCTGCCAATTCATGAAAGTGAGAATTGCTTTAGAATAGTAGAGGGAGCTAGCTGCACTAGTGTAGAGGGCACAGTATGATTGGTGGAGGGTAGTCACATGATCACCACATATTCTGAAATGACACGAAACTGATGGGGTATAAAAAATTGAGGAAAATTTTAGCAATCCTTAGAGAGCAAAGCAAGGTTGAGGTAGCTTTGAGTGATAGGAGCCAAGCACCTATTGGAAATAAATTTTCAGTGTAAGAAAATGTTAACTTTCAGCTTTGGTTGACAGTTAGTTCTGTTATTAAAACTGTTACAACAGTATATGCTGCTGACCGGCTACCTTCTCTCTCTGGTCAATAGCTCAGAAGTAGGGTCAGGTTTCTAACCTGATCGTTTAGCCCACATTCAAGTAAGTTTCAAGATACCTACAACTAATTACTTCAGCTTTGGTTGAATTAAAAGAGGGACAGTTAGTTCTGTTATTAAAACTGTTATAATGGTATATGCTGCTGACCGGCTACCTTCTCTCTCTGGTCAGTAGCTCAAAAGTAGGGTCAGGTTTCTAACCTGATCGTTTAGCCCACGTTCAAGTAAGTTTCAAGATACCTACAACTAATTACTTTTTCCTTAAAAATTCATGAGAAATCTTGGGCATCCATGAAAAATTTACAAATTTGGATAGTCTTAAAACCTGGGATATCAAACAGATTTGTGTGTAATGTAAAACTGTTTCAAATTGATCGTTTTCTTAAGTGATTTTTTTTGTTTTTGTTTTCCAGTTTCTGTTGATTACTTACATACTTGAGCTGGCATGGATGCTGGTGTTAGCATCATTGGTGGTCATCACTTTTGTGTTTGTAGTGAGCTGGGGCCTGTGTAACCGAGTAGAAGTAACTGATGTTCGTAAACAGTGTATAGACCTCACTCAATACGGTAAAGATATGTCATCTTTGTTCGATTATGTTTTAAACTTGCTGGTGTCAGCCAAGAAATATAGATATTAAGTTAAAGTGAAACTGTAGGCCTTAGTTCTGGAGTTATGAAGTTAAAATCATTCAGAAAAAGATACATATTAATGAGTAAAGTATGCGACTTCCCAGAATTTTATAGAGTTTTGAATTTTGGCAGAATATGTAATTTTCCAGAATGATAGTCCCGAAGAGACGAAATAGTGAATTGTTAAGAAATGTGACATTCAAACCAAAGTTCCACTAAAACATTGTAATCTTAAAAAAAAGAAAATACTTTATTAGTAAGTGTATAAGATTGATAAAAACATACCATTGAAGCATAACAGTTAGAACTGAGATTGGGTATTTAGAAGAATACTTTGGGTAAATGCTGCTACAGTTCTATGACATTCTATTATTTAGTAACCTAGGTTACTTTTTAAGCTTTAAAGCATTACAGTATGTGAAATGTTTGTTCTAGTAAAGCTTAACTATGTTTATCTGCAATATGTGTGATAAAATTGTGTGTTTTAATGGAACAGTTTTCTTTCTTTTAGATTTCATGTTTCCACCAGAAACAAAATATGAAGACCTAAACCTATGTTCTGAGGGCAAAGTTAAGGAGTTCTGTAAAGATTATGTAAGTTTTGTCGTCTATCAGTTGATGAGGTTTTCTGTAACTTGTTTAATCATTCAAGCGTGATAATACTTGTTAATTTTTCAAATTAATGGAAAATTACGATATAGGTGATCTTGTAGGTTTATTTATTGTTCAAATAGTTTATTTGAAATTACTACAGCTCCACCTAAAACTAATATCAGTGTAAGGAGTGTGAATTGTTTCATACTGGAAAAGATTATTATAGGATAAAAAATACCTCATTATTAAAGATCTGTCAGATTTACAAAACTTGTGTAAGTTGAAGATTTATAACTATTATTCAAAAGATCTATCATATTGGAAAAATATTTTTTATGATAAAAGCTTTTTGTAAATCTGATTTGTATGGATGAAAACAATTAGCTTCACCATACTTGATTTAGTAGGTGATTAATTGGAAAAGATTGGTTTCATGTAAAAAAAAAATAATATCTGGCAGTTGTTGGAAAATTAGTTTAACTTTGATTTTTCTAACTATAAAAAAAAATGTTTTTCCAAAATACTTTAGAAATGTTGTTTACTCGTCAGTTTTTTTATACATATGAAATCCCATTACAAAGATACAATCTTTAAATGTGATTCCCAATTATACAGTAGAATAAATTTGGAAATATTTTTGTTTCATCTTTCCAAAAAAAGTTCAAGAAAACTGATGTTTTTAATAATGGTGAGCATAACATACGACCCCTGTTTCTTGTGGTGTTAATAATGGTGAGCATAACATACGACCTGTTTCTTGTGGTGTTAATAATGGTTAGCGTAACATACGACCCCTGTTTCTTGTGGGATTAATAATGGTGAGCGTAACATACGACCCCTGTTTTTTGTGGGATTAAGAATAGTAATGGTTGTTAGGCTGCGTGATGTTTGACTGGGAGCATAATTATCATTTGCTTATTACTGAAATGATTAACTCTGTTCAGTGTAAATATTTGATATTATTTTTTTCCACCAGGTGGAGCAAGCAACGATCATGTACATACTAGCAACAGCAGCATGTGTTCTGGTAGTGGTCAGTTTGGTGAGTTATTGAGTGCGTGCTTGTTTCTTCATGTATATTAAGTCATACACTTTACTGCTTGGACTGTCCATGTTCTTCATTTTATACCTTTCAACATATAATTACATTAATTAAACTTGCTGTAATAGTAACCACTCATACAGTTTTGAGACAAAACCTAACCTAACAAGTAACCGTTAACCCTATTTACACAGATGGGGGGTCAAAGTGCACTTTTTGCCACCTTTAAGAGAGTTTCATCAAAATTTAATTCAAAATTTTATTATCAACGTATGTCAATGAAATAGCCATCAAGTTTTAGTTTTTAATTTAACAAAGGGAAATAGTTAAATACGTTCTCAATCTTCACTTTTCTGTGTCATGTGATGCCTCTCTACTTTACATTTTTTTTCTCCATAGCACTCACAGATTATAAACATCAACTACAGTTTAGAATTTCAAATGAGAACCTTCTTTATTTTCTGAGATATCAATCACTTTGTTACACCCACCACAGAAGCTTCTCCCAACTATTCATGCTTTTGAAATTACTTATTTGCTCACGTTTACTCGTCAGTGATACATGTTTAGAGCCAACGGAAAGGCTATTTCGTGAATCACATGTTATGATGTGTTTATGTTAATTCATTTTGGTAAAAAGTACCATTTTCTAATCAAATTTTAATGAGTGAAAACCGAAGTTGGTTCTCTGGTAAATAATGGTCGTTGATCACGGAGATCTTCTTATCCCAGAAATACAAAGAAAATTTGTATATATATGGTTAGGGTACTCAACTTACAATTTGTGGATTTGAATCGTGTCACCAAACATGCTTGCCCTTTCAGCTGTGGGAGCATTATAATGTGACAGACAATCCCATTATTCATTAGTAAAAAGTAGTCCAAGAATTGATGGTGTTGATTAGCTGCCTTCCTTCCAGTCTATTGCTTCAAAATCTATGGGTGGCTAGTGCAGATAGCCCTCTAGTGTGAACGCACTAAAAATATGTATTTGTTATTATTTCACTGCTATAATTATTCTAAGTAAGTTTGAATCACCTAAGATATTCAATGTCTTATATGGAAAAACTTGATACAGTTCTTTGTTGTCTATTTGAGACCATTTCACAGACTGGTGTCATTTTTTGTAATTAAAAGGAATCATTAGTTGTTTTTTTTTGGTTTTGAAATATTTGGAAGTTTAGTTTTTTAAGCTTACAGTTTCAAGAAATGCTAAATTTCAAATAATCTGATAAAAAGATTGTGTAGTCAAAAACCAAAAATATTTTTTTTTTTTTTTAGATCCACAATTTAATATGTCTTTCT